TATTATCTACTCAATTTGGTACTTAAGCAAGGAACCCCAGAATCTTTGTCTCCTTTCCTTTCCCAACACCACAAATTCTCTACCTGGCACACAGGAACCATTCAATAAATATGAAGGAATAAATCAATGCATCTACCTGTCACACCGCCAAAACATCTCTCATGTAACCCCTCCCTGGCCCCACTACCACAGACCTGGTGCAAGCCCATATTATCTACTACCAGGACTACTCTGACAGTCTCTTATTATTTCTTCACTTTCACCATTTATCTTTCTAAAATACTGACCTCAACATGTTTCTCTCCTTCTTAAAAAATCTCTAATGATTTCCTACTATGTAAGAAAAGAGTTTAATCAGCATAGTATACAAAAGACCTTCTTTTACAACCTTATCATAGATTCACTGCTTTTATAATCAGTAGCATCCATCATCTCTACCTTCTTCCACACACAACCTACCCACTCCAATCTGCCATCCATATACATATCCTACAGTCAGGCCATGTGGGTTACCAAATATATTTTCATGCTTGCCTTCTAGACCTGGTGATAATTCCTCTGTCTAAAATGACTTTCTCCTTGTTCTGACCTATTTGACAAGTTACTTTGTATTCTTCCAGGCCCAGATCAGCACAGGAAATTAAATTGTAAGAACATATAAGGAATGGTGTGCAAGTGACTTAATTACTTAAAGAGTAATTTAAGATTTAAATATTTCAAACCACCAGGAAAAAAGTGGTAGACTAAACACAGGGGTCTAACAACTTCACTCCCTTACAATGAGTAACTGAAACTACAGCAAAAGCATACACATATAAGAAATGAGCTTGGAATTAGTTCTAAGAAGGTGGATGGAGGGTTAATGGTGAAATAGAAATAAGAACCAAATTGTGTTCCCTGGGTTTTCTTCCCCCATAGTTATAGTAGCCAATTTAAAATTAGGACACATGGCTTTAAATACACCAGATAACTTCTTATGGGACAAGTGAACTATTCTTGGAAACTGAGTCATTTTTAAAATAATGAACATATTAAATCTCACTATTTCATGTAATACCATTATTAATATGTCCAGATCATCAATTCAAGGCTAATAAAAATGAAGTTTGGGGGTTGGGTTTCATATTACTACTAACTACCAAGCCAACTGGCCCAAGCTGCCTGGAAACTCAGGAATGCAACACAATTTAATAGCCACTACACTGATAACATTCTTTTAACCTGAGGGAATTTTCTATAAATCAGGAAACAAACGCTTCAATTTCTAGCCCATTCAAATCCATAACACAGAGGAAAGTACTTTCTAAACGTACTACAACTACTATTTAACCAGAATCATGAGCTCAACTACGTAGAGCTTATTCTTTTCACTGTTGCCTAATCTCTTCAACTATACAGTACTCTGCCATTTTATATAAAGGACTTGAGCACCAGAGGATTTTGGTTTCCCCAATGGGGGGTACCGGAACCAATCCCTGCAGGTACCGAGGGATGACTGTATAAGACACAAGGTATGTGCTCAGCAAATGCAACTATTCCATTTCTCTTCTCCCCTTCACAGCAAAATTTTGCTATCTCCTCCAATTTCTCCACTTCCTCTCTTCAATCCAATCATGCCTTTACTCCCCACACTCTACTGAAAGTTCCCTTTAAGGACACGAATAAATTCAGGTTGCTAAATCCAATGGTCAGGTCTCAGTTGCTCATATGACACAGCTGACTATGCTTCCTCCTCTTGGAACACTATTCACTTAGCTTCTAGGAAACCACTCTCTTGGGCTTGCTCCTAACTTTCTGGCTACTCCTCAGTTTCTTTGCTGGCTCCCATCTTCTCCCTGAGCTCAGTCCCTGATATCTTCTCTGTCTTCACTCAGTCCCTTGCTGATTGCTTCAAAATATCTTAGTTTAAATACCATGTGTAGGTAATGACCACTATATATGTAGATTACATCTCTAGTCTAACCTGTCCCCTAAATCCACTACATTAGAAAAGTCAAACAAGTTTTCTTTGGACTTCCCACAACCTACTATGCTGCTGTGCATTATAAATATACAAGAGGAAACTATGTATACAGTATTTCTTACATATATTTAGACTAGAACCCTTTCCTCATGATGCATCTCATGAGACATACAATTAACTAAGCCACTAAATACAGCATGCTAAGACATCTTTCAAGTAGTTCCAACTTCTCACAGCACAAATTAAACTATACGAAAATGGGCAAACTTTTCTTCTGATTGAAGAGAGGTAATAACTGAGTTTGAGGCTTTTTTCAAGGCAGTTCACTCCATTAGAAGAGAGCTTACCTCAAAAATTTCCTTATTCAGAGATAAATTGGTGTCTCTCTTAAATTCCATTCACCTGTATTAGTTATATACTCTAAATGGGCACAGAATAAATTTACATCTTCTGCCTTCACATAAAATAATATAGTAAGTAGATGCTGTTGTAATCTCTTCTTTTTCCAGATTAAATATTCCTAGCTCCTTCAACTGTTCTTCACATACCATGCCTTTCAAACCTCTCACTATCCAGGTCATCTTCCTTATCAGATAAGATCTAAATTCCTGGAATCTAGTTGGCCAACAAAACAACCTATTTGAAGAATGCAAAACACTGTGGACTTATAACTTCCACTAATAGGGACATGATCACTTGGTCATGCAGCCTAAGGATAAATTCACTTTTTAAATTTTTAGCAGCCATGATACTGGTTAACTCAATAATCCTTTCTAAAAAATATAGGTGTATTACACACATCCACATACATAGATGCTCACACATATACAATGCACTTAGCTATATCCACTAAGAGGGCCTAGACACAATGATTCCTCAGTAGCAATAAGCACATCTAACAACCAAATCTCTAAATACTAATCTACAGTAAAGAATCAAGGCCTCTTAGAGAAATGTCTGATTCCAGGGCTGGCATAGAGACAGTGCAAGGTGATCCTGGAACAACTTGTTGGGTCAAAAATTAAAGTGCTCAAAGAATAATAGGGACAGTGTCAGAAGAATAAAATAAGAATCAGGTCTTCCCTGGTGGCGCAGTGGTTAAGAATCCGCCTGCCAATGCAGGGGACATGGGTTCTTTCCTGGTCCGGGAAGATCCCACATGCCACAGAGCAACTAAGCCCGCGAGCCACAACTACTGAGCCTGTGTCCTGCAACTACTGAAGTCCGCACACCTAGAGCTCATGCTCCGCAACAAAAGAGGCCACCGCAACGAGAAGCCTGCGCACTGCAATGAAGAGTAGCCCCTGCTCGCTGCAACTAGAGAAAGCCCGCACACAGCAATGAAGACCCAATGCAGCCAAAAATAAAATAAATAAAATAAATTTTTAAAAAAAGAATTTAAAAAAATCAATGAGCCTATACTGATACAAATGAATGAATGAATAAATAAATAACAGAAGGAAGCTTTCTTTGGAGCAGGAAGCCTTCTTTGTACCAGGAAGCCAGCTAATAAACACAGAAGAAATTGGTGAACTGGAAAAAAAAAAAAAATCACTATTTGGCAACCATCTTTTTTCCCCCAATGTTAGTGAGATATAACTGACATAACATTGCATAAGTTTAAGTCGTAGAACATAATGATTTGATATATGTATATACTGCAAAATGATTACCGCAATAAGTTAACAACCATCACCTCACAGTTACATAGTTTTTCCCTTGTGATGAGAACTTTTAAGCAACCATCTTGAAAACTGATTTGTACAATAATCATCAATAGATATTAAAGCCAATGCGTAAGTTTGAGAGTAATAGGATATTTACATAATCAAAGTATCTCTCCACAAGGTACTTAATAGTTACAAGGAGTGAAATAATGACTTTGCTTTGGAGAAACCTGGCAGATGCCTTCTTAACTAAATGATCAAAGTTATTATCACCAGTAACAGGAGAAACTGCAACAATTGCTTCTTGATATAATGTACTGGAAAGAACATTATGTCTGTGATATTCCTGCCAAAAGTATATAACCTGACCTAGTCTCGAGAAAAAAATCAACCAAACTAAAATTGAAGGACATTCAGCAAAATAACTGGCCTCAACACTTTAAAAAATGTCAATATCATGACATATAAACATAGCTCTACAACTATTCCAGCTTAAAGTAAATTAGAGAGACATGACAACTAAAGGCAGGATGTGATCCTGGATTTTCTCTTGCCATAACGGACAGTATTGTGACAACTGGTGAAATGTGAATAATATCTGAAGATTAGATAATACTATTGTATCAAAGTTAATTTCCTGATTTTTGATCATCATACTTCGCTTACGTAGGAGAATGTTTTTAGGAAATAAAACTGAGGTTCTCATAGTTAAAGGATTATAAAGACTCAAATGAGTCAGGAAAAAAGTAATGTATATCTGTATATATAAAAATAAGGATAATGCAAATGCAGTAAAATGTTTAATATTTGGTTAATCTCTGAAGCGTATACAGGAATTCTTGTAACTTTTCAAAGTCAAATTATGTCAAAATAAAAAAAGAAGAGAATAACTATAGTAATTTTTAATTCAGTTTTAAAATACCTCCTTTCTCATGTTAATTTTCTACACACACACTATCAACTTAATACACATAAAGCCTTCCTTTTATAATTAAGTTTATTTTCTCATGTAGTGTGGTTGCAGTGAAAGGGATGCACAGGGTAGACAAAAGAAAACTGACTCTATGTTTTGATTTTACCAATTTACATAATTCACCTCCATCAAAAGAAAAAGGCCATTTCAGTTGCCTATGATCAATGAGGAGACATTTTTAGACATACTCTTCTAACATCTTAACTACATTTCCTCTACAGAGATTTTTAACAACCTTCAACACCTATTATTGTCAAAGTTAAGTTACACTGACCTCTCAAAATATAAAAGGTATTTTTGGATCACAGCGGTATTTTTAGTCTTTGTGGCAAATATTTATTTTCCAATGATGATAAAATCTGAATTATTACACCTTTAGAGAAATATTAATACTTACTTCTCATTAATTTGCCCTAGTAATAATATAGCCATGTTTTTCACTCTCTCATATTTTTTGTCAATGAGAACTGGGTTCTAAAAAGAAGAAAATGCAATTAGTTGCTTTCCTTTTGACTCACCATACATTCCTACATTTGTTTCAAGTACAACAGGAATGCTGAGGAAGCTGAACATAAACACGTTTATCCAGTCAAAACGTACGGTATAATTTGGTTCTTGCTATCCAAAGCTAATACATTCTAAAATCATGGGTTTTAATTAAAACAATACTAAAAATGGTACTTTATGTATTTTAAAGCATTACTTTAAAATTTAATGAAGAGGGGTTTCCACTTCTAGCCACGATGGAGTATCAGGGACCAAATTAATCCTCCCACCTTTTATCTTATTTTTTTTGGCTGTACCATGCATCTTGCAGAATCTTAGTTCCCCCACCAGGAATCGAACCCAGCCCTCCGCAGTGGAAGCACAGAGTCCTCACCACTGGACCGTCAGGGAATTCCCCCTCCCACCTTTAAAACTAAAAAAAAAAAAAAAAAAAAAGGACAAAATATGTGAAATCTTTTCAGACATTGGACAACAGGCTGTGCAAGACAATAATCTTTGAAAAAGGAAACAAAAAAGTGAGCCCTATTATTTCCTAATAGTACTGCCTGTAGAGTTTCCAGGACACAGTGCTAGGAGGGGAAAACCAGAGCCTGACAGTCTCCCCAAGTTGAGAGGACGGATTTGAGCATTCAAGGACACCAAAACAACTAGAGTTCTCAGGGCAAAGTACCAGAGAGGAGAGAAGAGCACAAAAGAGCTCTGGAGCTTTGAAGAGAATTCCCACTGAGTCTTCAGCTGATTATTGTTGATCAGCACACTTATGAAGAGAAACTACCTAAAGCCAGGAATAGAACCACCAGAAAGGAGCTGGCATAACAATTACCAAAGTTCACACAGGGATGGTAAGAGTTCACAGCTAGAGTGGAAAAATCCTGTAATAATGGGCAACAGCTAGAATACTGAGAAGGGCAGTGCCCCAGTAATAAGGCTAAATTAGCCTTGTACTAAAGGATGCTCAGGACTTATCTAACAAAGCTTTAAAAGCATGCCTTTAAGAACTGTTTCTAATAACATAACTGTGTTCCAAAACAAAGCTCAGAATATTTATAAGAATACAAAGAAAAGACAGCTCCAAACAACAAAATTCACAATGTCTGGCATCCAGAACAAAACTTAGCAGGCATGCAAAGAAAAAGGAAAATACTACCCATAATGAGGAGAAAAATCAGTTACAAGAAGCGAATCCAGAAATGACAAAAGTGCTATGATTAAAACAGCTATTATATACAAAATACTGTGCATGTGTACATACACCTTATGTGTATGTATATGTATGTACATGTATACATTCACACACATGCGTGCACACACACAAATGGAAAGAAACCCATGTTCCTGATTGGAAAACTTAATATTATTAAGATGTCCATACCCAAAGCAATCTACAGATTCAATGCAATCTGTATCAAAATTCCAATGGCATTTTTTGAAGAAACAGAAAAATTCATCCTGAAATTCATATGGAATCTTGAGGGACCGCAGATAGCCAAAATAATTTTGTAAAAGAACAAATTGGAGGAGTCACACTTTCTGGTTTCAAAACATATTACAAAGCTATGGTAATCAAAACAGCATAGTACTGGCATAAGGACAAATAGACCGATGGGACAGAACAGAGTCCAGAAATAAACCCTTGCATATATGGTCAAATAATCTTTGACAAGAATGCTAAGACCCCACTCAATGGGGAAAGGACAGCCTCTTCAACAACTTGTGTGCAGAAAAATGGATATCCACATGCAAAAGAAAGAAAGTGGACCCTTATCTTATATAAAAATTAACTCAAAGTGGATTAAAGACCTAAGAGTAAAACCTAAAACTATAAAACTCATAGGAGAAAATGTAGGGTTAAACTTCATGACATTGTACTTGGCAGTGATTTATTTGGTTGTGACACCTAAAGAACAGAAAATAAAAGCAAAAATACACAAATGGGACTAAATCAAACTTTAAAACTTTTGTGCATCAAAGGATACAATCAATTGAGTGAAAAGGTAACCTATGGAATGGGAGGAAATATTTGCAAACTATGTATGTGATAAGGGGTTAATATTCAGAATATATAAAGAACTACAACTTAACAAAATATCAAATACCTCAATTTAAAAATGGGCAAATGGGAAAGAAGAAAAGAAAAAAAGAAAAAAAAAGAGAAAAAAAAAAAAAAAATGGGCAAATGGGACTTCCCTGGTGGCGCAGTGGTTGACAGTCCGCCTGCCAATGCGGGGGACATGGGTTCGTGCCCCAGTCCGGGAGGATCCCACGTGCCACGGAGCGGCTGGGCCCGTGAGCCATGGCTGCTGAGCCTGCGCGTCCGGAGCCTGTGCTCCGCAGCGGGAGAGGCCACAACAGTGAGAAGCCCACGTACCGCAAAAAAAAAAAAAAAAAGGGCAAATGACTTGAATAGACATTTCTCCAAAGATGATATACAAATGGGCAGCAAGCAGTGAAAAGATGCTCAACATCGCTAATCATTAGGGAAATACAAATTAAAACCATAATGAGATATCACTTTATACCCATTATGATGGCTACTATCAACAAAACAGAAAATAACGAGTGTTAACATGATGTGAAAAAACTGGAACCCTTGTGCACTGTTAGTGCAATGGTGAAGTGGTGCAATCACTATAGAAAATAGTATGGAAGTTTCTCAAAAAATTGAAAATAGAACTACCATATGATCCAGCAATCTCACTTCTGGGTATATACCCAAAAGAAGTGAAAGCATGGTCTTGAAGACATATCTGCATACCCATGTTCACAGAAGCACTATTCACAATAGCAAAGAGATTAAAGTAACTCACATGTCCACCAATGGGTGAATGAATAAAGAAAATTATACAACAGAATATTATTCAGCCTCAAAGGAAATCCTGCCACATGCCACAACATGGATGAATCTTGAGGATATTACACTAAGTGAAATAAGCCAGTCACAAAAAGACCAAGGCTGTATTATTCCATTTATCTGAAGTACCTAGCATAGTTGAATTCACAGAGACAGAAAACAGAAGAATGTCTTCCAGGGAATGAGGGAAGGAGTAAAGAGTAGTTGTTGTTGAATGGATACAGAGTTTCAGATTTGCAAGATGAAGAAGTTCTGGAAAGCTGTTTCACAACAATATTAATGTAATTAACACTACTGAACTATATACTTAAAAAATTATTAAGATGATAAATTTTATGTTATGTATTACTTACCACAATTTTTTGAAAACTCGGCTAGTATAGACTCTACATATACAGGTGACCCTTGAACAACAGTCTGAACTGTACAGTTCCACTTATACACAGATTTTTAAAAAAATAAAAGCATACTACAATACTACATGATCTATATGATTGGTTGAATCTGCAGATGCAGAACCGTGGATATGGAGGGCCAACTATAAAGTTATACACAGATTTTCGACTGTGTGAACGGTCAGCACCCCTAATGCCCACATCATTCAAAGGTTAACTGTATTCAAGAAAGGAGAAGAGGGACTTCCCTGGTGGCGCAGTTGATAAGACTCCATGCTCCCAATGCAGGGGGCCCAGGTTCAATCCTTGGTCAAGGAACTAGATCCCACATACATGCCACAACTAAGAGTTTGCATGCCACAACTAAGAAGCCCATGTGCTGCAACTAAGAAGCCAGCAAGCCAGAACTAAGGAGCCTGCCTGCCACAACCAAGACTGGGCACAACCAGATAAATAAATAAATATATATTTTTTAAAAGACAGAAGAAAGATTGAACATGTAAAGGAGAAATATGTAAGATATAGACAAAATTCAAATCAAACTTACAGAAATGAAAAATAAAATGTCTAATAAGAAAAATACACTGGATGAGATAACAGCAGATCAGAAACTGAAAAGAAGAAAAGATTACTAATCTTGAGGACAGAACAGGAGACATTATCCAAGTTGAAACAAGGAGTGAAAAAAATATTTTTAAAAAATGAACAGAGCAGCAGTTAGCTGTGGGACAATATCAAGTGGCATAATATATGCGTAACTGGAGTACCAGAATGAGAGGAGTGAAAAAACACAGAAAAACTATTTAAAGAAATAATGGACAAACTTTTTCTACATCTGATGAAAATGGTAAATCTACAAACCAAGAAGCTCAACAAACCCCAAGCATAAGAAACATAAAACACATTGTAGGCACATCATAATAAAAGTGCTTAAAACCAATGGTAGAGAGATCATCTTAAAAAGCAGCCGGGGGGGGAAAAAAACACTTTCAATATAAAGAAATAAGGATAACAGATTTCATATTGGAAAAATGCAATGAGAAGACAGTGGTGCACTATCATTAAAGTCCTGAAAGAAAAAAAGTGTCAATCTAAAATTCTATACCCAGCAAAAATATATTTCAAAAATAAAGTCAAAAATATTTTTTCAGCTCTCTGCTTCCCCGTCTGCCCCGCGGGTCCCGTACACCCTTAAGATGGCAGCCACGGCAGGAAGGTTGCTCCAGACTTCGCTTGTCCAACACGTGAGTGTCATTCCTTGGGGCATTTCTGCTGCAGCCCTTAGGCCTGCTGCTTCTTGAAGAACGTGCTTGACAAATGCATTGTGTCTGGTTCTGGTCAAGCAAAATTCGCCTTTAGCACCAGTTCCTCATACCATGCCCCTGTCGTCACCCAGCATGTGCCCTATTTTAAGGGTACAGCTGTTGTCAATGGAGAGTTCAAAGAAATAAGCCTTGATGACTTTAAGGGGAAATATTTAGGGCTCTTCTTCTACCCTTTGGATTTCACCTTTGTGTGTCCTACAGAAATTATTGCTTTCAGTGACAAAGCCAATGAATTTCACAATGTGAACTGTGAAATCGTTACAGTGTCAGTGGATTCCCACTTCTCCCACCTGGCCTGGGTAAACACACCAAGGAAGAATGGCGGTTTGGGCCACATGCAAATCACGCTCTTGTCAGATCTGACTAAACAGATTTCCCGAGACTACGGTGTGCCAT